ATGTTAACAGCAATATCTGCAAAATAGCCATTCACCCATTTTGCTTGGTCCAAGTTAGTAGCTCCAGTTGCAGCCAAAAGGGGGACTATGTAACTCAAACATGTGAGAATCCCAGCTAAAAGTAGTGCTCTTGGGAATGTTTTCTGGGGCTGGTCTACTTCACCTGCTAAAGTACTGGCATTGTCCCAAAAATTAAGGTTCCAAAAAAGAGTATTGAAGAACAATTTCCAATCCTTTTTGACACCCTGCTGACCTAAACTGATCCACCTTTTAAGATGAATCTTGGGAATTGAAGCAAAACTAAGTACAACAAAGGGAGAAAGTGAAACGAGGCCCAAACACACAGCAGTGTAACCAACTATTGCTACACCTGTATAATTGAGAAAAGACAGGAAAATGGTAGCAAAAAATATTGCCAGACTCCTAGGAACACCAGCAGAGAATATTGGAAAAACAAGTTTGAGATAATCTATGCAAAGAACAGGATATGAAGCTAAATTGATAACACCACTAAGAAATTTCCAAGAACCCATTAAAGATCCCCAAAAGGGACCAAATGCCTTGTGTGCCCATATGACAAAACCTCCATTCCCTGGATAAGCAGTGGCAAGTTCAGCAGTCACAAGAGCTTCAGGAATGCTCCATATGAATGGGAGGATAAGGAATCCAAGAATTGCAAAAAGAGGCCCTGCAGAACCCACAGCAGCCTCTTCACCATAAGGGCCACCAGCAACCTCAAAATAGATTAAAAAGATTAGAGGGATTAAAGCAAGTTTCTTGGAGCCTCTATGGGTGGCGGAGGAGGCCGTAGATTGTTGTTCTTCATCCACCAGAAGCGGCGGCGACGAAGAGGAAGAATGGGAGGCTCCCATTATAGAGGTTGATGATTGGTTTTAAGCCCCCATTCTTTCCAATTTTTTTCAATCTCACTTTCATAATTTGTCGTCCCCGAATCTGACCCAGTTGCTTCATTCTAATCAAGATGGCAGGGCCGCTTGGTGTACATGTACCGACACCTCACACGGGGTAGGTTAACTTTTTGCCATTAAATTTAGGTGAGATCCACGCATTTGAGTGTGCCTGCACAAATCTGTAATACAGATTTATTCACCATTTTTTGACTTTTCCATGTATCGTCCACATATTATTCACCCAAATTTCCAACGGTCAACAAACT